TCACTTAGAGATTCTGGATTGTACAAATAATTCTATTTCTGTAATTTAAAAGATCAAACAAAGATAATTTTATATAAAAGGAATCGACTGTTATGTAATAAAATTGTATAAAAAGTTTTTATATTCAAAACAGCTTATTGGGGAAAGGGTTTTTTTTTTTTATTTTTTTTCAGTAAATACAAGTTTAATATGCAATAAGAAATTTTTTGTTTTTGTGTTTTTTTTTTCTGATTAAAGGCATCAAATAAGTTTATTTTAGATTTAATAAACTTAACAAAAAATTTTTTTATTATAAAATTAACTCTTTAAATTCAATAAGATTAGTGAAAAAAAGAAGAAAAAAAAAATTAATAATGATAATATATGTACAGCAATTGTAAAAGAAAAACAAAACCAAAAATAAATATACATATACAATTTTTTTTTTTTTTTTTTTTTTTGGAAATAAAAATAAGAATACAAATTGAACAAAGACAAAAGTATATTTTTTTTTTTTTTTTTTTCTTTTTTTTTCAAGAATCCAAAATATTAATTTGAGATCTAAAAATTAATATTAAAGTTAAGTTACAATAAAAAAAAGAATTCTTTTCCAAATATAGCAAAAATTAAAGATCAAGGACATTAAAATAGGAAAAAAATTTCAAATACTACAAAAAGGAGTTAAGAAAAAAGATAAGGAACAAGGGTATAAAAGGAATAAGAGGTGTAAGAAAAAAAGAAGTTAATATGGGAAAAGGGAAAAAAAAGAGAATATAGGGGAAAAAAAAAGATTATAGGGGAAAAAAGAAAAAAAAGGAAAAATCATGGTTTTGCGAAAATAATGAAAAATTTGGTGGGAATTTATAAATTTTTTTTTTTAAAAAAAAATGTGCTCCAAAGGTAAGGGATTTTTTTAAAAAAAGAATATATAGTTCCATTGGTTTAAGATAAAAAAATTGAACAAGGTAGCAACGAAACCAAGGAACTCGAAGAGCAAAATAAAAAAGAGTGACAGAGTTTTGTAATAATTAATTAAAAAAAAAAATCAATTGCATTTACATAGGTTTTTAAAGCGTGAAATATAAATTTTTTTTTTTTTTTTGTTTGAAATTTTTTTATTGCGGGCGGAATTACGAACAGAATTGACAAAATTATTAAAAAGGAGCGTATGAATTAATGTGAATAAAAGTGTGATATTAGTGGAATATTAAGAAGTAAGGTTTAAATTATTATAGTCAACTCGGCCTTTCTATTATCGCCATTTTTCTATGATAAAAATCTTATTTAAGTCATTAATTAAGAGAATATTCTTTTACTATTATGATGTTGCTTTAGATTTAATAAGCAACCATTGACGCAGTATTATATGGCATAGGTTGATCTATAGAGGGATGATAAGGAGAATCTCCTAATGGTTCATATTCTTCTTAGATATCGTTATCTTCCTCAGTTATAGCACTACCTGATGTGCTACTTTGACTTGATGATGAACGTCCTGACATACGGGCTAAAGAAACCGAACTAGAAGACTCAGTCTCATCAAATTCAATCTTTTCATCTTTAAGTGCAAATGAAACTCTGCTATTTCTTTTTGATGAGCGCTTGGATTTCTTCATGCTATTACTTCTTTCTTGATCAATATCACTTGATGAACTTGAATGTGACTCATGAGCAAATTTGTCAATAACTCCACTTTCTCTTGAAGTATAACTTTTATTAACATCACTAATTTCATTAGTTGATTCTTCTGCAATGTCCTCAATGTCTTCTTGTCTTGGAATAACCGAAAAATTATTTCTTGTAGAATTTTGTGGAACGTTTTTTCTTCGTTGCGCAGCCTCATCATGATCAAAAATATTCCGATTATAATTATTCTTTACTACAGGTAAAGTATCTATATAATCCCCACAAACGACATATTCATCATTATCTTCATCCGATGAATCCGATGAATATCTACTTTTATGATATTTTGAACAATTGCTTTGTTGATTAAAAGGCAAATTTCGTACATGTAAAGTGTTTCGATTTTCTTCTTTATCATTGATCATATGGCTATTAAACGCTACCCATTGAAGAGATCTAACGGAAGTTCTTGAGTCATGACTAGTATTCCGATTAAAAGTAAAAGAGTTTTGATAATCTATTTCGCCACCTTTTTCAGATACAGGGTGAAGGATACTTGATCTTAAAGATGACCTTCGTTGTGTGTTACTTAATGACGATCGATTGACTGAACTTGTGATGTTACTTGTCGATAATGATGATTTATGATGTGTAAAGTTCTGAGCTCGAGAGATATTCGCTAATTCAGATGATGTTAAAGAAACTGACGAAGTACGTCTATGAGTTCGTTTCATACGCAATATTTCTGATGTTGAACCGGCATTCTTTTGAACATGTTGACTTTCTAATTTACCAAAAGACATCCTTTTTTGTGTTGTCGTTGACGTGTCAGAATCTTTGGGTTGACAATTATCTAATTTATCTAACGATTCAGACTCTTTTTCATTTTTTGTTGGTGGTGAAGGCGTAATTGGAACAAGAGGTGGCGTTATTGGTTCAGGAATTGATTCCAGGTCATCTAAATTTTTTTGTTGGACTTGTTTGGTTTCAAAATCATTGATAAGATCGATATCGCTACCAAATTGATCTCTAGGTTGACAGTAAGGGTCATTATTAGTTTCTATATCCTTGAAACTTTTTGAAAATCTTCGCTTGCGTATTATGAAAAAGCCTACAAATCCCAAAATCATAATCACACCACCAATAACTCCGACGATCATTCCACGATATCTGGATGGAGAAACTGTATGAGATTCCAAATTTGATGACTCTATAGGTTTTGATTTATCGTGATAAACCGTTTCATCTACCCAAGTATTACTTTTAATGTCAAAGAAATAAAGAATCGGGTCAATTGATTGATTTTCTTTAGATGTTCCACCCCAAACCATCATTAAGTCGGTATCCTTAATCATGATGGCATTATGAGCTCCTCGACCAGAAGGTATTAAATTTTTATTTGTTGTCTTTGCATTAACATTTATTGAAGACCATGATAATGTAGGTGCTTTTGATACGTCCAATCTATAAAGGTCATTTAATCCATTACCATTTGCATCCATACCACCAAATATGTAGATGTCATTTTTATCATCTTCACGAGATACCATTGAAGATAATGTACGAGGGATTGGAGGGTCATTAATTTCTTCCGGTTTAATAAAAGTATCCTTGGAAATATCAAAAATATTACAACCATTTGTAGCCTTTGCATTCGCATCAATTCCAAAGCAAGAGATTAAATAATTATTAACCAATATTGTTGAATGACCTGCGATTGGTTGCGAAATTTGTTTTATAAAGTTCCAACTATTTGATTTAAGGTCCAAATAAAAAATATCACCTAGTACCATATCATTCTTACTTATACCACCAAGTATGTAGACCTTATCATCATCAGTTATTGTGGTGGTATGATAATACCTTTGTTGAGGGACATCACCTTCATATGTTGGAAAAGAAATATTGTCAGTATTATTTACATTAAATTCTTGAATCGGGGGAGCAAAAGTTTTCTGTGGGGTCATAGTTTGAATGCCGAACGTTATCAGAATCTTTGAGCCACGTACGGGCGCAGCCCCGTGACCCGACACGGGCAATTTTGTTTTCTGTTCGTTTACGATCAACGAGGTAGAGTTTAAAATAAGCAAAAGAGAAGGTTCAGAACCACCTGTTATTATCACAAGATCGTCAATAATAGTTGAGGTCTGACTGAATGTGACTTTAAGGACATCAGGTTCATTATTAATAATATTTTTAGCTCGTTTAACCAATTTCGTTGAACGGGAAGGTTGGGATAGGTAGTAGTGTAAGGAATTGGGTTTTCCCAACCTTCCTTCCGCACGAGGGATATAAGGGAGAGCATGGTCAGCGGCAGGTTGGACCTCCGTACTGGTGTATTGCGCGCTGAACATTGAGGGAAGGAAAGGTATGGTTTTCACCGTTGGGGATACGATTGGAGCATAGGAAAAGCCACGAAGTTGTTCGCGGACGAATTTAAATTGACAATCAATAATAATGGATTACTTCTTGTATTCAAATTCAGGATATGTTGTATGACTTCAAACTTGTTTAAAGATTGGTACATTTGGAATTTATTGTACATCACTACCTAATAAGTCTCTCAACACTTTGGGAATAAATTATATATTTTTAATGTAGGGAACTTCATTGATGTTTAAAAAATTTTTTTTTATAATTAGAAACTACTTTGACTTGTGAATTAAATTATTAAGATGTCCTTTTATGGGAATTCGTGATTTATAATATTATTTCACCGATTTATTTATAAATATGATGTCACAAAGTAAATTAGAAATTGTGATTTTTATTTTATTTTTATAATGAGAATCAAAACTCAATTTGTTTTAAAGTTATAAAAATTTCTAAAGAACTTTGAAAGGAAAAAAGTACGTAACCAATTAGAATAAAGAGATGAACTTTCGAAGTTTAATTATCAGAATAACTAACCAAATTACTGATAATTAAAATTGCTAAAGGAGAATAACCTTCCCAATTAATTTAAATTAAATTAATTATAAATAATAAATTTTTTCAAATAAATATTGCAGGGAAATTAATTGAGAATGTTTTATGATTGTACAAATTCAGAGGGTTTAATTATGTGTTACGATTCTAAAAAGAATCGGTTTCATATTCTTTTTCTGACCCTTAATTGAAATCATTATATTTATAATTTTTTTTGTTTGAGATGCATCTTGCATGGTGGGGGAGTTCACACGCAAGCACATGACCCAATCGATCACCAAATATTTTGGTGATAATCTTCCCAATCCATTCAACCCTCGAAGATTATTTTATTTTTATTTTTTATTTTTATTTTTTTTTTTTATTTTTTTTTTTTGGTTTCTGCAACCATGATTCTGTAATTAAAAAGAAAGTAAAACAAAAAAAAAAATTAATTAATTAAAAACAAATATATTTATCCCTTGACAATGTTAATTCAAAGGATTTCTTTTAATAATTTTAAACTGTCATTTCCCACTGGTGGCTTGCTAACAGCGCGATACAATTATAGAAATGCCTACGACTTTATTCAAATTCAACCAAACACGAGATTTCTGTCTACAACGGTATCACTTGCGTCGCAAATCGGTCGTAGACCAATACCTTATCCACCCGAGGTTACAATTACACATGATACGACACCAATTACCCAACCACGAGTTAAAGCAGATTTATTTTCTACAACATTAACGATTTCCGGACCTTTAGGATCACATTCTATGCCTATTAAACCTTTCGTACAACTGATTTTTCATGAGAAGGAAGATTCGAAGAAATATGATAAAAGTATCGAGTCAAGCGAATTCATAGATGATAGCGAACAGGATAAGAAACTTAGCGTTGAAGTCAATAATGCAAAAATCAAACAACAAAGACAAATGTGGGGAACCACGAGAGCATTAATTACGAATTATGTCGTTGGCGTTAGCGAAGGTTATAGGGTGTTGTTAAGATTTGTTGGCGTGGGTTATAGGGCTAACATGGAAGGTGATAAACTTGCCATAAGGGTTGGATACACGCATCCTGTCATATTGGATGTTCCTGATGGCATCAAATGTGCCATCCCTAGTCCAACAAAGGTTATATTGAGTGGAACTGATAAACAAAAAGTATTTCAATTTGCAGCAGAAATAAGAAGTCACAAACCACCTGAGCCATATAATCAAAAAGGTATATTTGTTGGGGATGAAACAATCAAGAAGAAAGTGAGCAAGAAGAAATAATTTTTTTTCCTTTAATAAAAATTTTCTAATTAAGAATTTTTAAAATAAAAATTTTCACACCCTGATATGATTTGATTTTCAAAAAAAGTTAAAATTTTTACCGTATAGCAAAAGCTTATGAATCGTTATATAAGGAATATAAGGAGAAAGGAATTTCAACAGATACAATATTATATGAAAAGGTAATAACTAATTATTTGTTTGTAAGCTATGGTTAATTCGTGAATTCTCTATTTATTTCATATATAAAATTATGTAAAAAATAATGTACTAAATATGGAAATGATCACCCAACGTTAAGGTTTATGTAACGTTACTAACCAATGTTTTAAATTTCATATATTCCGCGTTCTTCAAAGAACTGTTCACAATCATGAAAGATCAGGTTCTTGAACAAGCGCCTCGAAAAATGTAAGTGTTCGTACTATATTTTATTCTTAATTTGAAATCTAATGTCTAATTTCGTTACGATCTACTGCTAGTAAGCACATTCAATTTAGCGTTCTCTCTCCTCAAGAAATCGTCAAAAATGCTCAATTGGCGATCACACATCGCGATCTTTTCAACGATAATCGCAAACCCATGGAAAACGGTGTCCTTGATACGCGGCTGGTATGTATCTGACTTTAACGCCCAGTGTTTTTTATTGTCATTTTGTTTAATTCTGTTTGATCTCTCACCTAAACTTCAAAGGTAACTGTTCATAGGGAACATCGGATCATGACACGTTGTGTCAAACTTGTGGCGAAAAAATGGCTCAATGCATCGGTCATTTTGGTTATGTCAAATTGATATTACCTGTCTTTCATATTGGATATTTTAAGGCTGTAATAAATATGCTTCAGAATATTTGCAAGGTAAATGACAATTTCTTTTGTCTTTCTTAAGTATCTCCCTTTTTACTTTTTTTGATGTAAACAATTTAAAAGTTTCTGTTTCTAACTCTACTTTGCACGATTTAGACTTGTAGTCGCGTTTTATTAGAGGAAGAAGATCGTCGCTTATATCTGAAACGATTACGAAGCTCCAAAGAAGCGGCTTCGCGTCAAAAATTAGACAAAGCTATAAACACCTTGTGTAAAAAAGTAACAGATTGTCCATTCTGTGGTGCAATAAATGGCTCTGTTAAGAAAGTTGGTGTACTCAAGATTGTGCATGAGAAATTCAAATCAAAGAAAGCACAAGGAGAACACGAAAAATTCAAGGGCACCTTCAATAATGCGATTGAATACACACCAGATTTGAAACCACATTTGCACAAAGCGCAGGAAGATTTAAATGCCCTGAAAGTTCTTGAGCTTTTTAAAAGGATATCAGACGATGTTAGTACAGTAGTTCACATTTTGTTGGACGTAATTTTACTTTGAACGTTTATATATGAATTTCATATCCATTTGCTTTGAAGGATTGTGAATTACTTGGGCTAGACCCTCAAAATGCGCGACCAGAACTATTTATTTGGCAACGTCTCCCAGTACCTCCTGTGGCGATTCGTCCATCAATTGCGCAAGATAATGCAAGGTATGACATATATCTTTTTTATTATTATTATTATTATTATTATTTTTTTATGGATGATTAATATATCTCGGTAATTTATCTCTGTCATCAGCACAGAAGACGACTTGACGGTGAAATTGTCAGAAATTGTCCAAACAAACACTAACATTACAGCGGCACTGTCTAAAGGAGTTACCATTACACAACTTATGGTATTGTAAAATATTTCGCATATATATATATTTTTATTATGTATTAGATTTGTATCAATTTAGGTTAAACCTTTCATTAATTATTTATATAAAATTTAGGAACAATGGGATTATTTGCAATTAACAATTGCTATGTATATACACAGTGAAATGCCAGGTTTGGGAAATATGGCGGTAATTTTTACCTTCTTACTTTTGTTAATAAAAAGTTTTTAATCATGTAAAACTTAACCATTTTTTTAAAAAATTAAAGGGTATAAAACCTAGCAGAGGATTATGTCAGCGATTGAAAGGTAAACAGGGTAGATTTCGTGGAAATTTGTCTGGTAAACGTGTCGATTTTTCTGGACGTACTGTAATTTCACCTGATCCGAATTTACGGATTGATGAGGTACGATTTGTTTAGAAAAAAATAAATAAAGAATAAAATTTAAATTTTACTTTTTTTTTTGCCAGGTTGCTGTCCCAGTTCTAGTAGCAAAAATTTTAACTTACCCAGAAAGAGTATTCGAATTTAATATTGATAAGTTACGTCAGTGTGTGATAAACGGATCGGATATTCATCCTGGTGCCAATTTTGTCAAACATAAGTCTGGAGGGAAAAGATTTCTTAAGTATGCTGACCAAGCATCAAAAGACGCTTGTGCTGCCGAACTACAAATCGGAGACATTGTAGAAAGACATTTGAGAGATGGTGATGTCGTCTTATTTAATCGTCAACCATCTTTACACAAACTTAGTATAATGGCTCATTATGTAAAGTATTAAAAGAATCATTTCAAAGCTCGTTCTCTAGGTTAATAATTTTTTTAATATGAAGTATTAAATTTACATTTGTCGATAGGTACGAGTCAAACCATGGAGAACTTTTCGTTTTAATGAATGTGTATGTAATCCGTATAATGCAGATTTTGACGGTGACGAAATGAATCTTCATGTACCTCAAACTGAAGAAGCTCGAATCGAGGCAATCGAATTGATGGGTGTAAAGAACAATTTGGTTACACCTAGAAACGGAGATCCTATCATAGCTGCAATTCAAGATTTTATCACGTCGTCATATTTGCTTACAAAGAAAGACGTTTTTTATAATCGAGCACAATTTTCACAAATTTGTTCGTATATGGCTGATGCTAATATGCATATCGATATTCCTTTGCCCTGCATATGGAAACCAATGAAACTTTGGACCGGAAAGCAAATATTTAATGTATTAATGAGACCAAATAAGCAATCGTCGGTTTTAGTTAATCTCGAAGCGAAAGGACGTTCATTTGATAAGAAAGAGGGGAGAGCGCCCGATCTATGTCCAAATGACGGTTATGTTGTTATTCAAAATAGCGAGATTATGTGTGGTTGTATGGATAAATCTTTAGTAGGAGATGGTAATAAGCATTCATTATTTTATACGATACTCCGTGATTATGGGTCAATAGAAGCTTCTAATGCAATGAACCGTTTATCTAAGTTGTGTTCACGGTGGTTAGGTAAATTTAAGTTGACTCTTATATTTGAAGCATTTATGTTAAAAAAATTTTTTGATTAATATCCAATTTCGTCAATAAATAAATAGCCAATCGAGGATTCTCTATTGGTATCAATGATGTGCAACCAGGTGAAAGGCTAAGAGAAGGGAAAGAAGAACTCATTGAATTAGCAAATAAGACTTGTAGCGAACTCATTGAACAGTCCAAATCAGGTCGAATGGAAAATCAACCCGGTTGTAATGAAGAACAAACGTTGGAGGTAATTCAGCAAATATCTACAAAGAAGTGAGAAGTTACATTAACAATTAATTTATTTAATAGGCACATATATCTGGCGTTTTATCCAAAGTTCGTGAAGACGCAGGTCAAATTTGCATGACAGAACTAAACAAATATAATGCTCCACTTATTATGGCAACTTGTGGATCAAAAGGCATTAATAAATTCCAATCTTCCGTACTTTCTTCTGGATTAGTCCATCATAAATATTAATATTAATGATACATTTTTATTAATTCAGGTTCGAAAATCAATGTATCCCAAATGGTTGCTTGTGTCGGTCAACAAATTATCAGTGGGAGCCGAATTCCTGATGGATTTCAAGATCGTTCTTTGCCACATTTTCCAAAGCACTGTAAGCGTTACTCATTTTAACCCTATAATCTGTTTATTGTATGAACTCAACGTCATTCCATCCTTATAGCAAAAACACCGGTGGCTCGAGGTTTCGTTAGAAACAGCTTCTATAGTGGATTGACTCCTACAGAATTTCTTTTTCATGCGATCTCTGGTCGTGAAGGTCTTGTTGATACCGCTGTCAAAACAGCCGAAACTGGATACATGCAAAGAAAACTCATGAAGGTACATATATGTCATGTGAACATATTTACGTCGATTTAATTGCAGTATAATTCTTATTCTAATCTCCATAGGCTTTAGAAGATCTGACAATTCATTATGATATGTCAGTACGAAATTCGTCAGGTGGCTTAGTTCAATTTTATTATGGGGATGATGGCTTGGATCCTGCTTTTCTCGAAGCAGAAATTCTTCCTGTGGACCTTAAACGTAATCTACAACATACGATTGTATGCATTATTAATATTTTTATGATGTCATTATGACCCGATTGTTAACTCTTAATTAATGATATCTTGGATATCTTCTTTTTTTCTTAAAAAAAAATTCTTTCGAACCTACTAGAATATAATTCCGTTTGGTGATGATAAATTGCTGTTACCATACGAAATACGTGAAATTACCGATAGTATATTAGAGAGCGATAAATTTGTGAATTCATGTACTCGATCATATATTAATTCTTTGAACGAGTTTATTCAAAAAGAACTTATTAGTAAATTAAGTGATTTAAGAGAGTCCTATGGTTTAATGAGAGGAGATTATAGACTTAGCGATGAGTACGGAGATATCGATGATATGGTTTATAGTACTTTGGATTCAAGTAAATGTTTAAGGTTTTTCTATTTATTGCTCTTTCACATGTTAATTTAATTTATTTATTCAGGTCCTGCAAAAGCCGTTGTGAATCATAAATTAAAAATCACTGAAAAACAGCTAGAAAGGTTTTTAAATATTTGTTGGGCGAAATTTATGAGAGCAAAAATCGAGCCAGGTGAGCAACATTTAACATTTCCTAAAGATTTATGTGTATATTCAATTTAAATTTGTTAACTTATTATATAAATTCCTGATTTGCATAGGTACTGCTGTTGGAGCCCTTGGTGCGCAATCCATCGGGGAACCGGGAACTCAGATGACTTTGAAGACTTTCCATTTTGCTGGTGTTGCTTCAATGAATGTTACACTTGGTGTCCCGCGTATAAAGGAAATTATTAATGCGTCAAAAACAATAAGTACACCAATCATTACTTGTAAACTTGTTAATGATACTGATGTGAAGTCCGCTAGAATTGTTAAAGGTCGTTTAGAAACAACTTATCTGGGAGATGTAAATTATTCTAGAATATTTCTTGATCGATCTTTCAGGATATTTATAATTTCTAACTTCATTTTTTTTTAGATTGCAAAATATATTGATGAAATTTATGAACGTGATCAATGTTTCCTCGCCATTAAGTTGGATTTGGAGGCAATACAAAAATTACAGGTTTGTTATAATTGTCATTTTTATTATTCTGCTTCTATCCATGTCATTATTTTTTATCCATTTTGTAGTTGGAGACAAATATAAAAGAAATAGCGCGCGCGATTGTCGATAGTCGTAGTTTAAAGCTTGAAGCTGTAAATATTGATTTGTCTTAGTTGTATATTTTTTTTCTTATCCCGGACGTTATTTGTTATTCATCAAAATTTTCTAATTTGTAGAATGGAATTCGTATAGTTTCAAACGATGAAATCGATGTCTATGTCCCCGACAAAGAGATGTACAAAGATCCATGTTGCTTGTATTATAGGCTTCAAATTTTAAAACGAGCCTTGCCCAAGGTTATAGTGAAGGTATAAGCATTTTCAATAATATCATATCTATTTTTTTTACATTATAATAATGTTTTGTTGTACTTAAATTCATTAATAGGGAATACAAACTGTTACAAGAGCTGTAATTAGTGAAGGAAAGAAAGGGAAGAAACAATTGTTAGTTGAAGGATACGGGCTTCGTGAAGTAATGACTACTGAAGGTGAGATTTATTATTTATTGCTTTTCTATTAAAAATGACAAATATAAAAAATACATTCTACGTGTAAACTTAACAGGCATTGTCGGCACTGAAACGACAAGTAATAACGTTAACGAAGTACATAAAGTTCTTGGTATTGAAGCCGCTAGGTATATAATCTCATTTATGTTATCCGTCATTGAATATTATTAATCTCTATCTTTGTACATATTTAGAAATACAATTATTAAAGAAATCCAATATACAATGGGTCGTCACGGAATGAGCATCGATCCGAGACACGTTATGTTACTAGGAGATATTATGACATTCAAGGTAAGAGTTCTTTAAATCACTTGTCAAAATGATTTAAGGTTGCTTTGTTATTTATTTATTTAAATATTAGGGCGAAGTATTAGGAATTCATCGGTTTGGTATTTCAAACATGAAAAGCAGTGTTCTTATGTTGGCATCATTTGAAAAAACAACGGACCACCTTTTCGACGCTGCATTACATAGTAAACGCGATTGTCTTGAAGGGGTGAGTGAATCTATAATTATGGGAATGCCCATGCAACTTGGAACTGGTCTGTTTAAATTGATAAGAACACCATTCGAGAATGAGAAACCACATAAAAGGAAATTATTATTTGATTCCCGAGAAAATCACGTAAAATTCACATATGGAGATGCATCTATGGAAGGAGTGTGATTTTTTTTTATTTTTAAGAAAGCTTAATCTTATTTATATAATCAATATTTAAGAGAGGTTACAATGGTAACGCAGTAAAATATAAATAAATATATAAATATATATAGATAAAAAAAATATTTGTAGATATTTATTAAAGGTTTGAATAATGATTATAATTATTTTTTTTTAAATAATAAAAAAAAAAGCTTATTAAAAATATTATACTTTTAATAGCTGAATTTTTGCCTTTCTAATCTTGATTTTTTCTGTCCTTTGGACCGATCTTCTCTTTTTACACCTCTTTCTTTTACAAATGGAATAAATATCATGTTTGGGGGCAGCTCATCTTTATTTTTGATAAACCATTCTGCCACAGGATGACCTTTTCTTTGATCAGGTTGTTCTTCTCTAATAAAGAAATCAACAGCATCTTTAACTGTATTGATGTTATTAAGTTCTAGATTAGGAATCCTTTTCCCTATTATCATAGTACAATCTCTTAAGATCTGTTGAGAATGTTATATGAACGATTTATTAATGAAATTATCTTGATCATTTTTATAATTGATCAAAAAAAAAAATAACGTACCTCGAATTTAAGTTTCGGATCTTTTAATTCCAAATGCATTAAATCTCCTTTTGCTGGCTCAACATGTGTTTGCACAATATCGCAAATACTTTCCTTGACTTTGGTAGGGTCTGTAACCTTTTTAAATCTGAAAAAACAAAAAAGATATATAGGATTAGTGAATTATATAAGAAATTATTTTCGACAAATAAAAGAAATTTGAAAACATACTCTCGATGTACCAAACCCGCGATGTTCCGAATTCGCGATGGACCAAAGATTTTCATTTAACCGTTTCATTTATATTAAAAGTTTCTCGCGATATAATAAATAATTTACATCTATTTTTTTATGAAAATGATCGTAATCACGTGATTATGAATTCCGCCAATCAGATCATCAACCTTAATCATATATAATTTTTTTTTTTTTTTTTTGATTCACTCTCTTCGTTTACATTTCATTCTGTAGCGTTTAAACAACATGTCTGAGCAAGTATGTATACCTTTTAATTAAAATTGCCATATCATTTTGAGATGGCTTAGAGTTATGAAAATTTATTTGATATCGCAAGAGAGATAATAATATAGATGATAATTGAATCAATTTAAAATTTTTACATATCAGATTGAAAAGGCTTTCCAAAAACAACCTGGCATTTTCGTTAATGCCAAAGCCATCGGCAAAAAGGCCAAGACCAAGAATCAACGCTGGTACAAAGATGTTGGTCTTGGTTTCAAGACACCAAAAGAGGCTATCGAGGGACATTATATAGATAAAAAATGCCCTTGGGCTGGCATGGTATCTATACGTGGTCGTATCTTGACCGGCGTAGTTATGTCCACCAAAATGAAAAGGACTGTCATCGTTCGTCGTGAATATTTACATTATATCACAAAGTACAACCGTTATGAAAAACGTCACAAGAATTTGGCGGCTCATTTATCACCGGCGTTCATTGGGGTTCAGGTATTGAAAACATCTTGAAATTTTATGAATCTGGAAAATTGCCTTTACTAACACATTTCATGCTTTTAAATTTAGCCCGGTGATACAGTGACCGTAGGACAATGCCGGTGAGTAATTTTATTATATGATTTGTCTCTTGCGTGCGTGACGTCTCACGCATCGCTGTTATAATCGATTGATGGAGTAGTTGGTAGGGTGACGGCCTACCAAGCCCCACGTATTCAACTAACACTTTTTTTTTTTGTTCTTCTTGCCTGTTTTGAAATTCCTTCCGATAAAAAAAAAAAAAAAACTGTAAATTAAAAATTAGACCTCTTTCTAAAACTGTTCGTTTTAACGTCCTTAAGGTTCAGAAACAGATACAAAAGGGATCTAAGCAATTTGCAAAGTACGTAATTTAAAAGACTTATTATAAAATTAAGTGTTCAATTTAATACTAATATTTTTTGTGATGCTTATATACAGGTTTTAAATGTTGAAATCAAAATAATAATAAAAAAAATTTTGCTTTAATATTAAGTTATTTACTTTTTTTTAAAAAAAAGGCAAAATTAGATATCTAGTGATTAACGCTTAATAATTTGAACTAATAAATTCAATGTTTTAAAAATCTAAAAATGTTTCTTGAACAACTTTTTTTTTTTTTATCGTGAAATTTGATTACATCATACGAGTCTGTGCGTGACTTGCAGATCACGGATCAGTGTTTCACAAAACGAAATTTAATAAAACAGCGTATGCGATTAGAGTTTGCCACATAAAACATCATGGTGGATAATGATTTTATAAGGTCCGCTAAAAGAGCATTATCCGCGTTGCTTGAAAGTGCTCGTGGAGAACCGGGAAGCAAATATAAATCTGAAGAATCCGAAGAAACATCTGAACCAGGGTACTATCGATTTCTACTAGATCTTTTCTTACTTGTGATAACTTACATTCCTGTTTTTTTTTTTTAAAAGAGCAAAACAGCTTAAACTTTCTCAAAATGAGGATTTTTCTACTTCTCCAAGTAAACACAAGGTGTTATATAATCCAATAGATACCAATGATTTTATGCGTCGACTCGCAACTTTTATGATATCCTTTTTGCTTTCGTTTTCGTTTTCGTTTTACTTTGTAATTATATAAAACAAACGACACCTTAACGTACTTGTACGAATCAACATGGTTCGCTAAACCCGATCTTTTAAGTCCAGTAGAATGTGCACGATATGGTTGGACTAATACTGAAGAAGATATTCTCAAGTGTGAATATTGTGGAGAACAAATGCTAGTGAAGATAATTCCTAATATTGAAATAGGCATTTGCAATTCCTATCTAATTTATTAATTGATTAATTTGGACTATTTCTTGATTAATAATGATGAAATTTGTTTTATTTAAAAATAGAGGAGAAAATGATAGTACATTATCATGAAGGATTATCCAACGCACATGCATCTACGTGCCCATGGCGTGAACGTCATTGTGATGGTGTGTAAGATTTTTTTTTTTAAAAAAATAACATTAAATCCTCTTTTCGATATACAACCATACCTAATGATTTCTTCTTTTCGTTCTAAGATTTTATATACAAGATTTCACTTGCCCTGGATCAATCCATTTTGAAGGGATTTCTGACACGTGCATCGCCTTTAATACAACTAGGGGATAAATTACCGGTTATAAAGGTCGAAATAGTAAGTCATCTTATTATGATATAAATTTATCATCATTTGAAGCTTATTAAAAGAACCGATCTTTATCGATTAAGAATGAGGAGTTTACACAAACTATAAATGCCGTGATGCCAAGTGAAGCAAAGACCGTTGATCAAGATATTTTGATAGCTGCAGCTTGCTTGTCTTTGTTTGGATGGGAATACGAATTAATTGATGGCTTAGATATGCTGAAGTGTCCGTTTTGTTTTCGTCAGTGTCCATTAATAAATTATCGGAATATAGCTAAACATAGGGAAATTCAACAAAAACGGGACAAAGGAATTCTTCAAGATAACCAGAAAGACGAAGAGAATACACAGGATATGGAAATACTTGATCTTAAATTCGATACTGAATTAGAACATCGATGGTATTGCGCTTGGATCACTGGGGATGGAAAACCAAATGTTAATAAAACTTCCGAAGAACTGACGAAAAAAAAACCTGGTTGGCATATTACATTGGATGGAATCGTTAGAAGCAGCATTCCTTTTAACCCAAATACATCCGTTGACCTGGTACGAATGAAATGTTATTCGTTTGAAATTTGGTCCTTTTAATCGCTAATAATTAATTTCTTTTGATATAAGACCGATCTTCGATTAAGCGAATTGCGTAATAATTTATCTCCATCCAAAAAAATGATGTGATAATGTCGAAATTAAACTCTTAGATTTAGAACTATTTTTGTATGATGAACATTTTTTTTTTTTTTTTTTTTTTTTTTTTATATTCATTATATTTACTATCAAATTAGTGAGTTTATAGATAACTTAGAAATAAATACTTTATGAAATTTTGCATTTCAGAATTCATTCATAAATATTAATTCGTACGGATAATCCTACTAAAATAAATCTAGAACTCCGGATTTTTTTTAAGTTTGATAAACATGTGTGAGTACTACGTAGTTTATGTAGTTATTGAAACGTTAACTTATTGGCTCCGATACCTAGTTCCCTCATCGATTTAACCAAATCAAGACAAAATTATCCGAATGATTAGGTTATTGTCACAATATTAAAATGAACAAACGTGAAAAAATTTTTTTTTTTTTTTTTTTTTTGAGAAACTCTGGCCAGTTTTGACATAAATACCGGACTTTTTTATATTTCTAGCGCGTCCTTTCTTTATCAAACAATTTTTTGTTTTAATAATAACCCAATTTCCATGCTATTCATAGTAAAATGTCCTTAGCCGTTGCTATCGCATTAATTGTTCTTATAACGGAGTTTATTCTTTGGTTTGGATATTCACAAATCGCGAGTTTGGTACGTTCTGATCTCTTAAATTTATTAAACAAGTTCAAGTTTTGTTTATTTATTTAACGATTTGATGAAAACTTTTTTAGGCATACGGCATTTATTTAAATGTTTTTGAAAAGGAGAGGATACAAAAACAAAGGAAAATCAAGAGAGACATATTGAATGTTAAACATGACTTGACAAGAACAAGTTCTCAGGTATTGAGTTTATTATTATTATATACGCGGCCATATCGTTTCTTAATTGTTATGATTCTCACTCATTATCCTTCTTATTAGGATCAATTCGCCAAATGGGCAAAGCTGAGACGAAAATTGGATAGTAAAATGAGCGAATTAGATAAAATTAGTAAATAAATTTTTTTTTTCACGGTCGATTCATCTTTGCGCGTAATAATAATAATAATATATATATGTAATATGTTTTTTATATTGAAACATTAATTTCCCTTTTTTAAAAAAAAAAATAAAACAAAAAAAAATTATCACAGCAACATCATTAGGTTATTTAAAAACATCCTTTGAAATCAAATTTACCACATTTCTATGGGTGTTTTCCAATGGTATGCAATTTTTTATGGTACTATGGTATCGATCATCCCCGGTTTTTTACCTTCCACAGGATTGGTTTAGTCCAATATCTTGGATTTTCTCTTTACCATTTGCACCATCAGGTTGAGTTAAAAAACGCGTATTTTTTTTTTTTCTTTATTTGCTTCTCGAAAAGATTATCTCTCATATTAATATCCATTTCAATCATGTTCATCAGGTTCGGTAAGTGTGCCCTTCTGGTTTTTGATTTGTCGCAAGTTTTCTAAAAAGGTGATACAAATAAGCAAAGATGCAGGTAAACAGGGGAGAGAGATCTTTTATCTGTCGCTTTGAATTTTTTTTTTAAAAAAAAAGCAATTGTTTTTTAATTAAACCCTTTGAACGTTCTTTTTAGTTCCATTATATCATAGTTACGCACCTGAATCCTTGAAACAACAAGGTCCTTTGGTGATCCAATGGTGTACCATAAATATTCAGAAATTCACACCCATTGTAGTGCAATGGGTTAATACTAATGCGAAAACATTATGTAACGTTATTATTGAGAAAGCCAAACCGGTAGCAATTACAAAGGTACCTCCTTCAACAAATAAAGCATCAGTCGCTTCAACATCAAAAGAAGAGGATCTTATTAATAGTACCGAGACAAAGGAGGACGAGAAAGTCTCGGAAAGAGGTTAATTGTTTAAAGGAAGGCACCAATGTTTTAATGAATATTTAGTTTGATTTACCTAATTCATTATAATATTGATTGTGTATTAGATAGTTATATGGAAGGGGTTGTGGTTGGTAGCATTTAATATGTTTGCTACTAAAGTTATAGTTAGTAAACCGGATATATGTAGAATAATTAATTTGTTTGGACTTTAAAAAAAGCATTTCAAACATTTATTTTTTTAATTCCCTTTTTATCCTCTTGTTTTCCTAATGTAATTCAATATCACAGATTAGCATCGAGCATTGATTTCTATGATTTCTATGATTGCATGCATTAGGAAAGTTCACACAGAGCTTATTAAGTTTGATGTATAATATTTGCAAAAGCTCCTAGTTGAACTTTTAAAAAACTCTTTAAAAACAGGATAGGAAACTTGTATAATAATAATAATTTTTTTTTTTTCGTTTGCAAACCCGTGATAATTGTGTTAAGTGAATCGTTTTAATACATATTTATTGAAATTTTTTCATTGGAATAAAAAAAAATTTCCTCATTTTAACTTTATTATAATTTCACAAAATTTAAATAATTAAAAATTTCTCATTTAACAAGGAATGAGCGTAACTTCTCACGGATATGGCCTCTTCTCTATTTAGAACATTTTCCAAAGCATATTTCATTTTATCTATAACTTTTGGACAAAGAAAAAGGAATTCAATGGTTTTCCGTTGAAGATTTTGTGGTAAAGAAATGAAAGGTCCGAGGAGAGGTCCTAAGAAAATATATATATATATAAATATGTTCAATATCAAATTCATACACTTTGAAATTAATATTTTAGTTCGATAAATACCTTTATTAGGCAAGTCTACATAAAGGAAAGGGATAAGAACCGTTTGAAGTTGGATCATAATCTATATATTTATGATATTATTTGTGGAAAATTTAAATTATGGTCAGTTTCTCGAGAGTTTCATGTGGTCAAACAATGATACGATCAAACAAAAAATTTCTGTTTCCTATATAGTAACAATTAAAGTGCGCTGGGACAAATACCTCATCGTTAAATATTCCTTTACCGCTTCTTTTGGCAAAATCACATAAAACGTAAAGGACTTCCTAGATCATGAAATAAAAAAGAATCACACCGGTCAATAACGCGGTCAATATCATATCATTAATTACAGAAAACATTTACTACCTGACTCGTTTCAATATTACTCGTCTTTAACTCCCATAATAATTTAGGTAAACTCAATACCCAAGTTTGCACCTCTTTGGCAAACGGCGCGTCATGATGTATATGAAAAGTAACTTGTGAATGCGAAATTTCTCGTACCTAAAAATAGGAATCAATCATAAATTAATAATAATAGTCTTAAAATTATTATTTAGAAAAAAAAATAATACCATTAAAAATTTCGAAATAAATCCTATGATGACCCTCTTCGAAGTTGATTGAGCTCGACACCTTTTGGAATAATTTAAAATTGTCTATAATGTAAAAGAAATTTTTGGTGATTAAATGTATATTATTTGAAATTCCTCATTATCGATAGTTACCCTGAAAATAGAATCTCGTTCCTCTTTTTCTAAATAATTGAGCAAATTCCGTATCGTTGGTAACAAAGCCGTCAAATGTTCAGCTTTCGAAGTTGGCTGGAATAAAAAGACGCGTTAACAATAAATTGATTTAAAGAATGACAATTATTCTCATTTGTTACCTCGGAATTTAAAAAGTGTAGAATATATTCTACAACTTGTTCTATCCAAAACGGCCGAGATTCTGAAGAATCCATGCCATCAATTCTTTTCCTTTTCTTTTGAGATGATCTCTTATTATAATTTGAACCAATCAACACTTCCTTTTCCAACGCGGTCATTTTCGTCGTCATTAGAAAGATTGACGTTAATTCACAAAACATTAAATTCATTTCTTGTAGAATAACTTCGGACTATAAATAACATTGAAAAACAATATATATATAAATAATTTATTTAATATCAACGAAAATCTTTGAAAAGTATTCCAATATTTCAAAAACCTTTGCATCCCGCGTAACGATAGATTCGGAACCGAAGGGAAAGTAAATCACATAGTGTTTAATTAATTGCCTTAAATGCGACTCGATCCATTGTTTATCCGTAAATTCCTTTCGAAATAGGATCAAAAAAAAAAAAAATTATTAATGACAAACATTAAGAACGGTTTATTGTAAAAGATTAAAAACCTGATAAGTCAACGCGTATTTTATCGTAGCTCTCCAGAGTATTACCATCATCTTTAAGACAAGGTAAATTATTTCTAATGATGATAAATTTTGATTCAAAGCAGAAGCTGTACCAAAAACTGATGGTGCAGTATCCAACCAAGTCGCAAGGAGAATTGGATTTACGACGTTCAAAAGGTCCTAGATCATGGAAAAGATTTTGAAAATGTGAAACATTTTTTTTTTTTTAAATAAAAAAAAAGAAACATGTAATACATAAAAAGTAAACCTTTGCGCAGGACATACGACCTTGAACAGTTGAAGAATCGTAATTATTTTCGGCATCCTTTGTCATTTCATTATGCGATAATGAATTATTATTATTACTCATGCTAGCCCATTCATTTTGATTTTTTGTAGTTGTTAAAGATGATGAATTGTTAAACAGGTTAAATTGCGCAGAATATTTTGGCCTAGAATTGGATAAATAAGGTATAAGAGAAGATCTCAGCGGATGTGGAGGTATCAATTCGACCTAAAAAATTATAAACTATTTAATACATTTGATACATTCCTTCACAATCCTTATTTTATTGAACTAACCTTGCCATGAACTTGTCCCCAATCAATTGAAACTCCTTGCCTAACTGATTGAAACCAATTGCTATAAATTTCAAGATTTCACATGCAAAAAATTTATTTGATACGATTAGTTCGAATTCAATATTTGGTAAGTAAAAAATAACTATCAAGTGAAGATAAAAATTTGTTACATTGGGTCACTATCATCATCATTCAGCCCATATTTCAAAAGTTTATGAAAACTCGATAAAATATCAATTTTAATCTGATATAAATAAAATGATTTAAAGTTGAAGTGACACAAAAACAATAATGATAGATTGAATTATTTACAGACTTCATGCGACAAAAATTGATTCCGCGAATTGGTTGAAGGGGTAACTATTCGAGATACTAATATAAATAAATAAATATAGGATAAAGCATTTAATATCTTAGGTATTAATAAAAAGTAAATAGTGCTTTAAGTCTAATCACCTGAGTTAGTAATGGTTGATAAATTCGAATCAGTCGTCAAAAGTCCAATATAATTAGGCACCACCTTATAAATCGAAGCCTCTATTATTAAATATATTCATAAATATATTTTATAATTCAAATTTGTGGCGATTTACCCGTTGCCAGAATCCATCTACAATGATATCGGGCGCGATATTAAGCCATATTTCCATAAATTTGATCGCATCGACACGTATATCTTCATAAATATGTGTCATTGCCGAGCATGTATATATGATTAGAAGAGGAAGGAAAGGTCTCAGTTCCGACTAAAGAAATGCCCAAGAGCATAAACGTCGACTGATGATAATAGGTAGAAATTAACCGAATTTACAAGACTATTCTCACCTTTTCAATAGAAATTAAAATTTCTGTAAAAAATGACAACAAAGTCGTCCTTACCAACTTATCCTGTAACAAAATTTTCGAATGATTATTATCTGATGACGCAAACAATCAAAAAAAAATAATAATAATCTTACATCATCAACTAATAATCGCAAAAGAGAATTCACAACCGATGATAAAGATTGTGACAAGATATGTGGATTTACATTAAAAAAGTCTTTTAACCCTAGGATAGCATCTTTATTTTTAGATAAGGACAAAATTAAATTTAATATAGAGTGGTTCATCGAAAGAATTTAATAGAAAAACAACCTTTTCGCATTCCAGGGTTATAATGCTTTAACTGTGTTAAAATTTCATTTAGAGTTAAATTTCGCGAATTTGTTATTTCATTCGATTTATCTTCAGTTATGCTCTGAATTGGCAAAGATATTGCTATTTATTTATATTATTGATTTCAAAGAAAATTTAGACAATTCAAATGAAAAAAAGAGAAATTGAGGTAATTAAAGAAATTTGTCGTTATACCCCGAGATTTAAATGAAGTATTCGTAAAATTGCTAGCCTGTGGTTTCTTTTTTCCAACTTTCAACTTTGGTTTCTTCTCGAATTAAAAAGTAATTGTAAATGAATCAAAATCATTCACCATATTTCTTATATCACAAAAAGCTTACTTTAAAATCTTCTTGTTGTATTCTTTTTTTGTGTTTACTTTTCTTGGGCATTTTTTTTTTTTTTTTTTTTTGACAGAAAGAAAATTGGTATGTAAATTGAATGCCCAAGCCACGTAGAACACGTGCTTTAAAATAAATATGGTGTGTAACGTACTTCCCAAAATTGACTTTTCGGTCCTTCCTAAAAAAGTTGTTGGTGTGATACGATGGGATATAAATCTGTTCAATTTGATCACCGTAAAGTCTACCACTTTCTCTTTCTTTGATCTGAGCTATTCCTCTCAAGAGCTATTTTCTTTCCTAAAACTATATAAAAGCCTCATGAATACCGAAGAAGTAATACGATTAAAGAGATCGTTAAACAAGGCGATCGATGACGATAAAATCCCTGTAAGAGAACGTTTTAAGCTAAACTAAACAACAGACTGTATCGTTCTTTAATTAAATATTCTTTATTATAAATACAGACAATCCTTGATATAATGAGACGTTTCAATGATGAAGTAGTTGCAACAAAGGAGTTGTTGAAAGTAAGCGTTTGTCTTAATGGGAGGGGGGGATTGTTATTTTTAAAAAAAATAATAATGGTTGTCAAATAAATTCCTGATTCATCAAATTCTTCAAATTGATTGGGTAATAGAATACAGGTATTGGAGTTTTCATTGGAAAACAACGTTCACATCATAACGCAGATGTTGCAAAACTCGCTAAAGACATTGTCAAAAAGTGGAAAACCGTACTTAATGGAGGCTTTGTCAAACCAAACCCTGTTAATAAAATTGTTCCAAATCCGAAAAACGTGGATAAACAACGTGATAATTCTCGAGGAGAAATAAATTCTCCAAGCTCACTTAAGACTGAAAGTTCTCAGAATTCTCAAAGTAATTCATCATCATCATCACCGAATAATGTAAAAGCAAACAACGGTAAACAATACGCAGGCGATCGTACTTTTAGGAAAGATAACATGAAAGGTCCCACGGGATATGATATACGTGATAAATGTATAGAATTATTATATGATTCCTTGGCATTTGATTCAACTGCTGGTAAGGGTTTATTTATTTTGAAGATTATATCCTATACGAACTATATTATTAACTTTTTTAATTTTAGATTCTGATATAATTTTTAATTGTGCCTCCAGAATAGAACAAATAGTCCTCGATCAATTTAAAGGTGAACCAGAAAAACAATATCGTGATAAATTGCGTGGCTTGATCTCTAATCTCAAGGATAAAAAGAATCCAGGTCTTAGGAAGGGTATCGTATCTGGAGAAATTCCCGTGGAAGAATTTTGTGTTATGTCTAAAGAGGTAAATAACCTGTATCTTTAAAATTGTTTTAAATAATACTTATTAATTATATTAAAATAAAAGGATATGGCATCCGAGGAAAAGAAAGCGAGAGATCGTGAAATTAAAGTTGCAAACCTTTTCAAGGCGAGAAGTGCAGGACAAACACAAGCAGAAACAAATATGTTTCGTTGTGGAAAGGTCAGCATCGTTTGTTGTGTTTTGATGAATAATTCGATTTTCCATTAGTAATCAACAATTATAAAATGTGTTTAGTGTGGGGAAAGAAAAGCAACGTATTATCAAATGCAAGTAAGTTTAATTTTTTTTTTGATTTAATTTATTTTAATTTTTCGGAGTAGAAATTAAAATATTCAGTCGTGGACATTGATAACATTTCTATTCTATTAGACTCGAAGTGCTGATGAACCTATGACGACATTCGTGACTTGTACCAACTGCAACAATCGATGGAAGGTGTGTATTTTATGTATTAAATCATTATCCTTGTAAAATATTTACTCTACTGTAATAACCTTAATATTTCTTCTTTTTACGACCAACCAGTTCTGTTAAGCATATTTTTATTCTAGAGTGTCATATTAAAAAATTGTATTTTAGCAAATAATTTGTCATCTTTTTTTTTATCTTGTCCATTTAAGGGTTAAGCTCAATCATTGATAGATATAATTACCTGATAAAATCACAATCTTTGACTTTCAGCAAGACGTTTGTTTTCAGCTGACTTCTTTGTCTTGAATAATAAGTCATGGTATTATTCTTATATGGAGACTAATATATAATATGTATATATAAAAAAGAAGTATTTCTTGTTGAACCAAACTTTTAATGTTTTCTGCTGAATGTAACATCCAACAATCAGATTATATATAACTTAAAATTAATAACATAATAAAAACATTTTTAAATTATAAAGTATTTAAAATTCTAAAAATTTGTGTATTTTGGTTGTTTCGATCCAGTTTCATCTAAATATTGATCAACCTTTGGCTGTCTACCATATTGTGGTTCACGAATACCTAATATAGAAAGGTTAAAGATATATATATATATATATATAAAATTGATAAATAAATAAACATGATGGTTTTTCATCATTCTTACCTAAAATTTCAGAATAAATCGTGCTAACATCTTGATCCCAAACTTCACGGAAGAAAGAAGCACCACGTACTGTTAAATTATATTCACTCACAAACTTTCGAACATCCTTGATACGACTCATATTTTGAGATATTTCAATTTTTTGATTATTAGGTTGTTCTAAAATAGCAAAGGTATATCGATGATATTTTGTTCCTTTAGGCGGGTGAGGGGGGATAAAAGGTAAAATTGTTTCACCACCCGAAATGTCGGATTTTGTAACATTAATGGGGATGTTAGTTATTAACCAATGCCATTCCGTTTGATATGTTTCATTCGAAGTGTCGGGCATATCTGGGTCAACCATGATAAGTGTATATAAACGCGTATCTTCATGAAAATTGGTCAGAATTATTGTAGGTTCTTTTTTTGTCTTTATAAGTAAGGTAAAAAAATTTTTTAGTTTATTTTGTTTTTAAAAATAAAAACAAAAAAAGAAAATGAAGAATCCTACTTGAGCGGGAAATAAAAAAACCCCAGGTTCTATTATCTGATTTTTAATTTTAATTTCAAGATCAATTGTAGGTTCCAAAGTAGGAAACACGTCAGGAACAACGTACATTTGCGTTATTCGTTCCATCTATTAAGCAATCAATTTAAAGATAATGTTTGATTCTAAATCATAAAATATATATATAAATTAATTGAATACCAATTTATAGAGAGGAGCTCTTTTCCAATGTTTTTCTCTTAAATGACGGTAAACTGGAATGCTCATGTCAACTGAAAAAAAAAAAAAATTAAATCTTGTTTTTAAAAATAATAAAATAATAGATGATCAAAATAATTGTAATCTTACTCTTCCCATTCTTGAAATTCCAGCGAACTTCCGGATCATTTACTTCAGCTAAAACTTGCAAATTATATTTCATCTTTTTAAGTTCATTTAATTCTTGATCACGTACTTCACTCTGTTCAGCTGTAAGAAAAAGAAGGTATATTGATAAAAAAAAAAAAAAAAAAAATTTCCTTCGCAATTCAACCTTTTCCAATAAATTCATATCACGAACCTAACCTTTCGACACTCTTTCTATTTGTGTCTCAATATATTTTATTTTCTTATATTTGTTCGCTTTGTCTTCATAAATGTATTTAAGAGCTTCATCATAAGCAGGATTAACTTCTAAAGCAGGAGGTTTATACTGTTTATCTGAAACTTTTTGATGTGAAGTCTGTATCTTTGTTGTCAACTGACGAGCACTTTTAGGGGAAGCCTGTAACTTTATTCATAAAAGAATAAGATTAGATGTTTACCGATGAAAATAAAATTTGAAGAAACTTACTGATTGTTGCCTATACGTTCGTTTGAATTTATTAAGTGAAGTCGTTATAGTAGTTCGATGCATTCGTAAAAGAAACATTTTTTTTTTTCTTTTTTTTTTTTAGATTATCAGAAAAATATAATTTATCAAGTCATGTGACAAAATGTCCAAAAAGGGGACAACACAGAAAAATGGTAGCCGGATTTATTTGCCGGGTATTTATTATTAGGGTTAGTATTAGAGTTAGGGTTGGATTAGGATTAGTATTAGTATTAGTATAGAATTAGGATCAGTTAAGGGGGTTAGCAAATTTGTCACGTCGCGTCACATTCCAGCCGTTCTTCAATTTACTAAGTATTCTGAGAAATTATTTTGCGAGAAAATTGCTAATTGTCACAATTATATGTCATCCATATTGGTATATATGACCCGGCAAATAAATCCGGCTACCATTTTTTTCTGGGTGATGCTGTGGCTGCTTCCAAAAAGGCAAAAAGTTAAAGGGAAGGAAAATCAATTTTACTTTTATTTTTAAGATTTAGCATTAACTTTTTTTTCCCCTGACAGTTCCTCCTATTACTGCAAAAGTTTCAAATATCCTTCCTTTATAATATTTATATGGTTAATTTAGAGTTATTCTATTATAAATGTGCTAAATAATATTGATTTATTTTATGTAAACTAATTAGATAAGAGATTAAAATCAGTAAATTAAATTAAAATTTGCATATAATATCAATAGTATTATTATAGAACTGTATTAATCAATTTACTTATTATCTTAAATAACTTTTAAAATAAAACTAATAATTTAAAATTATTATTTAATTTATTAAACTTATTTATAAAAGATAATATATGTTACAATTTTATTTATAAAATAATAAATTAAAATTCTATATATAAGATGATTAGGCTTTAGAAATTTTTTAACAAAATTTTGATTTATTATATTTTAGTTTTAAATTAAAATGTAATGTTCAGAGCTTGATTTTGTTTCAATTTAGATTACATAGTATCTATTATTAATCTATTATAACCTATCATACGTCAGACATGTCACATGTTGATCATAATAAATGACATTTATATAGATGTTGATTATTTGATCAACAAAATTTTATATGATTTTTTGCACTTTTTTGACTTTACATATAAGCTAACTATATGACATTACTAATGTTTTTAAATTTCTGTCTCACATTAAACATTCACTCACTTCTTAAAAACATTTTTGTAAGGTTTAAAAGTTAAACGGTTTAGTAGTTTTAAGAAGATCTCTTCAAACAAGTTGTCTATTATATGCCTATTTTAATATGTGAAAGTAATATAAACAATTTTAAAGTGAAAAATATGTTGTATTAATAAGAAGTATTTAATTTTAATAATAATTTTTTAATTTTAAAAACTTTTTTTATTAATTAAAAAAAAAAATAATACTAAATGAAAATTTATTTTTTACAGATATTTTATTAAAATAGAATATTAAATTTTTTTCAATAAACTCCTATATTATATAATTTTAAATTAGTAAAATATATTATTTTTTTATTATTTAATAATCTTTCTTATTTTTACATATTTTTTTAGTATTTTATTAATATTGTTTATTTAGCTCAATAGTATCATTCAAAAAAGAATATAAATTACTTACCTTTAATAAAAGTTATTATTTTAGCTAAATTGTATTTAAATTCAAAGTATTATTAAAAACTTCTTACTATAAAACTTTTATAATATAAAAATCAATTTTTTGTATTTTACATAAAATCCAACTAAACAGCATACTTTACAACCTAAAAGAATATTTTTCCTCCTATAAAATTACATATATTTTTATTGTTAAAGTTGTATATTTGTATCTACTTGAAAGAAGATCTTAAAAAAACTTATTTTTAAAGCGAAATTTTGCGTAAATGTAAAAAAAAGTAATTTTCTAAAAGGAAAATCAATAATTAGAATTAATTGAGCATATGATGATCTATCAATTTCTTAATTAATATAAGAAATAAATGTAATATTTTGCGATAGTAACTATAGAGTAAAGTAATTTAATTATAATTATATAAAATTTTTTAATATGAAAATAATCTGCATATGATATGTTCAGCGTATACTATTATTATAGATAACCTCTTACAGATTATATGATACAGATTAGCTTTAAACTCAATTAATTTTATATGTATATAATTATTAGGAAGACCAGTAGTAAAACAACCTTACATTGCTTATAATATAAAAATTATTATTATATAATAACAAATTCACTATT